ATTAGTTTATTTTGCTACTGTTTATAAATTCAATGAAATTGGCAAATAAGCGTAAACTAGTCTAAAGTAAACACAAAACGCCGGCTCTTAAATCGTTTTATAGAAGATATCTAAAGGTAGCAACAAAACAGCTTATAAGCGGCTGGAATAAATATATATATTTGTGAAACTTGTATTTAGAGGAGTGCTAATAATTCACAACCACTGAGTTATAAAACTGATTATTGATCAACAAATAAAAATCGTAATAAACAAATTTCATGCATTATATGTTCATCGACCGAAGATTGATGTAATTTCCTCATCTTTCCACCAGAGACTACATATTCACCACTTCACATATTCCTTGTTATGAATCATTTGCGACGTCCACAGAAATGTTGGCTTTGCTTTAACGAAGATAGTTGAGATCGAATTCTACTAGTTGAAAGCAACGGCCAGATCGACTTTAATTCTTCGCATTATGGCTTCGTTGGTCCCAAGACTAAGATTTCAGCTTGAAAGACACTTTAATAGTCGCCCGCCCTAATAACACATTTTAACATTAATCTTCATGGGCATATGATTATGTACTTTTAATAGAATACATAAAAGTTCAAACTGTATGCCTCTTTTTAAATTCGGGAACCGATGCAGCACGTTTCACGATAGTATTATTTACGGTTTAACGCCCTACAGTTTACCAGTATTTGTTCCTTTTTCATCTTAAGGCGCTATGGGTTGTACTGGTAAAATTTCCTTTTTTAGAAGTTGCAAGCTATGTACTTTACACGAGTATAGTAGAAATGTTCATTTTTGATTGAAGCGAGACTTTTCTGTAGTTGAAAGCAACGGCCAGATCGACTTTAATTCTTCGCATAATGGCTTCGTTAGCTCCAAGACTAAGATTTCAGCTCGAAAGACACTTTAATAGTCGCCCGCCCCAATAACACATTTTAACATTAATCTTCATGGGCATATGATTATGTACTTTTAATAGAATACATAAAAGTTCAAACTGTATGCCTCTTTTTAAATTCGGGAGCCGATGCAGCACGTTTCACGATAGTATTATTTACGGTTTAACACCCTACAGTTTACCAGTATTTGTTCCTTTTTCATCTTAAGGCGCTATGAGTTGTACTGGCAAAATTTCCTTTTTTAGAAGTTGCAAGCTATGTACTTTACACGAGTATAGTAGAAATGTTCATTTTTGATTGAACCGAGACTTTCTTAGTCGGACAAATATAATCCAATCAAAAGTATTATTTGTTTGTAGTTTGAAAATATAACGTACACACGGAATTACGCACGAATAAAGAAGTGACAGCTCGTATGTTAAACACATTCTGATAGCGATTTATAATTTATAATTTAATTCCACCACCAAGTAAGTTGCATTCGTATAATCAAAGATTTGTTGGCCAAAACTACAATTTCCTTCCCAAGGGAAAAACGTTAACTTGTCTTTTTCTGGATTAACTCCCAACCTATTTGAACTACATTGTATTCTGAATAAGCAATCACATTTCCACCAAGTCCATAAAACGTCGTATGCTCACCACCCTTGGCAACTGATTTCCTTATGGAACTCTCAATCTGCTCTCCAGTGTTCTGTCAATCCAGTTAATGGTAGAGGATGATCTAGAATCCATTGATTGCTTAGAATTGAGGCTATATTAAGAGCACTTAGATATATCAGTATTTAGGTTATGTTGTGACGTAGAATATTCCAACAATATTAACTCAAATTTATAATTAAATTTTCGTTTAGTTTCTTAAATTTCCAACTTTCCTTTTTACCAGTGTCAACATTTGTAATTACAATTGTGTACTTTTGTTTTGTGTATAATGATCATACACACTTTTAATGCAAAATGTATGATCTCATCTTTATTTAAACCATTCACAGCTGGAAGTGAACATGTTTATAAAATTAACATAAAGAACAGAGAAAAGTGAAATCTTTTTTTATGAATTTGTTATGAAAAAGTTAGTTGGGAACAAACTTTTTTATCTTTTGTCATAGGGGAATCTACCTTGAAATCACTTAAATCACGAGATAACTAATCTAGAAGCAAGTTTATATTTTCATTCATTCCAAATATGCAATTTAAACCTATATGACCAATAATGAGCAAATTCATCAAAAATGCTAAATAAATAAAAGCCCAAATGTTCACTGTCTTTTGTTATCGTTCAGTTAGAATATCTCAGTAGTAGCAAATATTTCAAAAATAGATGATAATTTTGAAATTGTTATTATCATTCTCAAACGTACTGCCAGTCTAAAAGATTTGCTACGCACACGTGCAGATTTGCTACGCACACTGGTAAAATGAAAAAGTTTGCCATAGTTTGGTCTTGTAAAAATTACCATCCAAAAATACATTACATTACAAAGTGGCAATGAATACATTATTACTACGAATACATTTCAATGTTATTCAACTTCCTGTGACGGTTGAACAAACCAATAGGCCGGCTGTCCGGACTAACTTGTACATATGAAACCAAATGTGTAAATTAAGAAATATCATATAATTAAACATATAAACAACAAACGTCAATGCTCATACATACGGAATGTACAAATTTATGTATGTACAACTTGTGTGGATATATCTACATACAGTTTTGCATAAATAATTTTGGTGCGAAAACTGTTTGATTATCGTATTCGTCATTCATCATAACACATTGAGATCTCAAATAACCCCCAATAATAATTGGCAAACAACAAAATAGAACACCATTAAAATTATGGCCCAAACAATCAAAACATAAACAACGTATTTTAAAATCGAACTAAGTCAACCTAAGAATAATTTGTTCCTCTACGGAGTAGCCAGTCGATGACTTAAGCCAGTCAAAAGGCGTTTTATGTATTCTCACCGTAAGTTCGACGGGCCGAAGATTCAATACGTTCCACCATTAGGTTTAGTATTGTACCTATTGGCCTAAATCGTGAAAATACCGAATATCTGGAAGCATCGTTATATGGGGGCTATAGAAAAATATGGACCTATATAGAACCTATGGACCTATATATGGGTCTTATCCATCACAAAATCCAAAAAATAAATAAAATAGAAAAATGATTAAAGTACAGAATATCAGGAAGTGCCTTTACATGGACACTATAAGAAAATTTGAACCTATATTTACAATGTTTTGCCATCGGAACTAGAACCTGTTACGAACTACAAATACAAAAATTTAAACAAATCCGTTAGAAAATGTGGTTTAAATAGTCAAAATACCAAACTCTAGTAAAACTTTGCATTTTATGGTGATCGTGAATATATATACTTCATGGGGTCTCTGACGAATATTTAGAGGTGCTACTAACGGAAAAACAAAGGTGGAGCACACAGGACCAACCTGTTTATTTCGGTGAAAGCAAACATACCTGGTTGCATTAATATTTTCATTTTCAGTTACTAAAAGGTAGATGCTTACACTCCAGAAGAGATGGGGGCTTATGTTTTGGAACACCTCTTGGAGCGTACAAACGCTGGAAATATCCAAGGCTATAACGGAACATTACGAGAATATAACTCGGGATCTATAAACTTCCACAAGAAAAGTTGTATCGTCGTACTTAGGACTTCGACGCTACCGTGGCAACATTTTTACAATGATGGAGCCCTAAATTCTACATGTTCCGATATGGATTTATGATTTTTTGAGACGAATATTGTGTATTAATTTTATTTATATATTGTCAATACTATTTATTGCCTTGAAGGCTATAGTATTCTAGTTTCTAAGAAGACAACTGAAGTTATAGAACTTATTTAATTGGTATTACACCAATTTTAATAGGGCCCGCTCTCGAGCCAAGCAAATTAACTGTCCACAATTTTTCTCGGTTGGAAAGAAATGTGATTTGATTACTAAAATACACAAAAAACGGATAGAAAGGAGTAAGGAAAGTATTTTTTCTCTACTTCTCCATCTTAATGTAACAGATGATTTAAATAATATGGGATGTCTTTCACCATGGCAAATGTCCTGACATAGAGGGGCTTGCTTTCAACAACTGCTCTCGTCCATAACTCCCCAATGATACTTAATGAAATGCTTTCATAAACCGCTCAGAAGGAAGTTCATCTTCTTTGTGTTAGGGGAAAATCTCATCCGAAGTTCGTAATTAGAAACCCGACCTACAAAGTGGAATAATAAAATAATTACTTGGTCCTGATATTCAATGCAAAATTCCCACTGATCATCTCGTTGGCATAGAGCAAACACACACATTTTTAATATTTTTATACATACATAGATCCACGGTAGTGGGCTTTATTCAAAGCTATCTTTTGGCGTAGGCTAAGCAAACAAACAAAAATAAACTACCCACCAATACCCTCAACAATAATCAGCAATCAATTGGCATATAAACGAAGCAGAGAATTTGTGGAATTTTAAATATTAGCGCAGCAAAACACAAAATATACAACACAACAAAATTCAAATGTGTAGGTACGTAGCATGTAGAAGAAACACAAAATAACAAAGATAAACAATAACAAATCAACGCAACACCATACACAACAGACATCCAACGTTCCAGCTAGCCAAACCAGCCAAAAGACTGAACTAAACAACTCGTGATTAAAGTGGATCACACACACAAAACAACATCGATCGATTTGGTAGGTTGATTTCTTTTACTGCTGCCACTCATTTCGTTTCTGTATTAGTAGTTTGTCAGAGTCAAGCTGCAAAAAATGAATTAATACTAAGTTTACTTTGATGGTTTGTTGTTGGCGGATTGGTTTGTCTCGAGATTGTTTAGCCGAATGGATAGTTGGTTGTCAACGCTATCCAACTGACAATAGCAAAGACAACACCCACACCACACTGACGAGGAATATTTCAGCGCAGTAGTAACTAATAATTAATGTTGTAAAATGGAAAACCTTGATAAATAGCATTGGTGGTGATGATCATAGGCATTGGGATGAAATAATTTAGATACAAACAATGAAAAACATAGATTCGATTATATTATTTACCTAATATTGTACGCAAATGACGTAGACGTGATGCTGAATCCTTTTTGCAATCCTGTAGCTTTGCTGTGGATTTCTTGATATCTGCATGGGACTTTTTCGTAAACATGATAGGGAATGAACGAGCACACTAGCTAAGTGGCTAGCTACTCTTCTGTTCTTCCGAAAAATTCACAACACTAGAATTTTTGTATTTTTTGCTAGGGATTTGATGTGCTAATTCGTTAACATCTTTGATGATCATCACTTTTGTTTTGTTGTTGTACTGATTGCTTGTTCGTCGTTTGGTTTGTTAATATTGACTTATAATTCACACACTTTTTCTAAATATTCCTGCACCCAATGGGCGAAGAAGAGATGGAGGCCCACTTTTTCTTGACTTGTTTTGCTTTTGCTTACTAACTGGCAATGACGACCGACAGTAGACGACGTGATGACGAATAACTCCCGCGACAGGTGCCTCAACTCTTGCTCCCCCAGCCACTCACACTTACAAACAACCACTTCTTCACCGGACTGTGATTGTTGTTATTGTATTCCTATATACTCCACTCCATTAATAGTTATTGCGTTTCTATCAGTGGTTATGGTGGCCAACAAATCGTATGGAATGGCAGTGACAGAAAACTCAATGTTGTACACCACCTTTTTCCACTGTTTTATTCCACTAAATCATTGTTTCTTGCCTTCGTGGTTTTCTTTTTCACATTTTTCATTTTGCATTCTTTTGCCTGTTTTTTCTTCTCGTACACAGCAGCAAAGAACACAAGACCACCTATGAAATATATTTTTTTATTCAAAATTTCCTTATTTGCATATAGATTTTAATTACGAGTTTACTGATTTCCCGTACACGAACACTTGTTTTTGACGACTATTATAAATTATAAACTTTCTGTTCGTTAATTACTGTGAAAAATCGTTGTAAAAATTCTGTTTCGTGCGTTGTAAAGGCAAAATTAATTGTGTTGGTGAAAACTGTTGACGTTTCTGAATCAGAGATCGGAGGCGTTTCTTGTATTAGAACGGCGTAAAGAGGCCAAGAAGTGATGTCGACGACATTAAGCTCCATGGCAATATATCGAATTATCGTTTAATGTAAAACAACATTTACATATGCCATAAAAAATCTACTAGATAAACCAAATCCGGAGTTGGAAATACAATTATATAATTATTAATGAAATTTAAATATTATATTTGTTTACCTCTTACAATCATTAAACGAAGATAAGGCATGTACTATAATAATTGTGTTGCGTACAGTATACCCACTTTCTCACTGTACTTCCCAAGTCCATTTATTGAAATATTAAATTGCGTTAACAAAAATTATAAACTGCAACAATGTACAGGTTTTTACTACGATACAAGATGTTCCCTTCATGATATCGAAAAAAAAATGTCATAATATGTGCTAATTTATTTCCAGGTACTGTAACAAGCAAATGTGTATCTGCAACAATTTTCATAGAAGTTTTACAATTTACAAAAAGATAAGCTCAGCCATGGTACAATGAATTTAAGGTAGGCTAACTTTGAAAAAATTGCAAGTATAGAGGTCTACCTGTTTGGCTTGTAATGTCAGAATCACTATCAAAACAATAAAAAAGCAAAAAACTTGTTGCATTGATTTTGAATAAATAATTCAATACCGCGAAAACTGAATGAAAGGTCAAAATTTCTTTTCAAAATCATGTTCTATATATCTCTTATGGTTTATTTCGCGAAAAAAACTGTAGACTTTGTCGATGCATACGTTGCAATAAGCTTTTTGAAAACATCCGAATTTGAATATTTTCTGAAAAAAAATTTTATTATAAACAAATGAAGTTGACATATTAAGCCAGAAAAATAAAAAATTGAAATCATATGGTAGTTCTGCCCTACCTTGAATTCATTGTACCATGAGCTCAGCAATAGCACAATTACAGAAGGTAAAACAAAGCTATCCCCTAAATACAATTTTTTTCTTTTGGTGCCCTTATTCTGTCAAAACATATACACATTTTGTGTATGTGTGTGTATTGTTTTGTAAAAAAAAAATACAATAATTTGAAATTATTTCAAGTTCGGTTGCAAAATAAATGCATACTTTCAATGTTAATGGGCAACACATTGTGCAATTTTGGGATAAAACTGTATTGTCCTCCTATTTTATATTCAATCTTGTAGATTAACCCCAAAATTGCATAGTTGTTTCGCGGGTTTTTCCAATATAAGAACATTGTAAAAAATGAAAAATAAACAAAACCAACTGTTTCATATTTCAAATTCTATTTAACACTATAAGATTTTAGCACAGTGTTGCATTTTTCTAGTTTGTTTGAAGTTGAGCAACCCTTCTCATTGAGCCAAGAGCTCAGCTATTTCTCTTCATTTAACTTCAACACATATTTAAATATCTTATATTTTTAATGCCAAAATTGACAAATCGGAAATTCGCTGCAATGTGTGAAGGCAAACCTTTTTTTCGTTCTAATTATACATTTTGATGATATATATAGACAAAGAGTTGTATTTTGTTAGGAATTCATTTTCTGACCGACCCTATAATTGGGCCATGCTTTTAACAAAACATCATTATCTTCGTATAGCCAGCCCATGGTACAATGAAATAAAAGTAACCTCATTTCATATTAGCATTCCCAGCACTGCATTTTCTGTAATTCACCTTGTCAAATTTTAATGCATAAAAAACAGTTCCCATCTCTAATTTTTTGTGTATACAATGGATTTATGAATATAGATTTTGACAATAAGATGTTGTCAAATGTATAATTTTGAAAAAATTGTAAACATATGAGTATATGACTTTACCTTCTTAGTTCTACCCATGGTACAATGATATTAAGGTAGAACTATGATACCATATGATTTCAATTTTTTTATTTTCTTGGCTTAATATGTTATCTTTATTTGTTTATGTATGTGTTTTCTTTTCAATAACAACAAAATTGTTCAGAAAATATTCAAATTCGGGTATTTTCAAAATGTTTATTTCAACGTATGCATCGACAAAATCTAGAGTTTTTGTAGCGAAATAATACTTTAGAGATATATAGAACATGGTTTTGAAAAGAAATGTTGGCCTTTCATTCAATTTTCGCGGTTTTCAATTATTTATTCAAAATAAATGCAACAAGTTGTTTGATTTTTTATTGTTTTGATACTAATTCTGACATTACAATGGTTTCTATTTACCTGCATCAACATTAGCTGCGCATTGGCCTTTGCAGACCAAAAAACTTTTTATGCCATTTTTTTCTGAATCCCTTAATTTGAATTGTATTGAAGTGCCCAATCGATAGCTGCACATTGGACATTCCTGTCTCGAAAATTTGGTAATTTTTTTTTAATTTGGTTACAAAAGTTGTATTTATCTGCACAAGAAAAATTTTTGCAAACTCAAAAAAGACACTAAAAACTACCACTTCGTTTTTGTTTTTGTATTCCCAAAAACAATAACAACATAAGAAAAGAGCATGCATTAAAAACATATTATCGCTTCCTCTCCCACACTAAAAGATGGTTATGCTGGATAAAACACCACTGATGCTCAAATACATATGTTGTGAATTTGTCTCTCTGAGGGAAAATGGAGAATGCATTACATTGATAATGAATAATTTCTTGCATTATAAGATTTACATTACAGAATTTGTCTAAAATATTCGAGAAAAGAATGCAATTTGAGCAAAAAATGATTATAACATTATTGTTATCGAATACATTATATTATTCATCCCAATAGAAGCGAAATGGTAATTTCATTTGACGAAATCTGCAAACTGATTACCGTCTATATTCCAGAATCTATACATGATGGAATGTGTAGTTTCATAGTTTTTTTTTCTTGTTTTTTTGTGTCCCGTTATTTTCGGGCGACTTCATGTCGCGTTATTGTTGAAATTTGTAAATTTGTTTAGTTTTGTTTCATTTGTGTGACAGTGAAGACGTAAGTTTATAAAATGTATTGAAAGCGACATTGGAGGCGTTTAATATTAAAAAATTGGGGAAGACTTCGCTTCGTTTGTAAGTATTGAATAATATTAAAAAATGCTAATATAGTTATTAACGACAAATTCTTTTTTTCTAGATACCCATCATGGAAAGAATCTTGATTCCTTCTGGAGTTGTAAAAAACTTATGTAGAGTACTTTCCGAAGAATTAATTATGAACTATAACTTTGAAGGAATAAAAGGAAAAATGGCTTTTAAGTCCTTTGAAAATATAAATAAGTTAATGTATGGTAAGTAAAATTGTTCAAATTTTCTACATTAAATACTTTTAGAATATATTATACATATTAATACATATGTTTTTTATTGCAGAGGTGTCAAAGAGGGAAGGATACGACGAGAAGGAATATAAGAAGGATGTTGAAAAAGGCATTCCATTTGATAAAATTAAGGCAGTTTAAGGAAACACATCTCGCCAAAAAACGTAGCGAGAAATAAGAATTTATTTAAACATAATCCAAAAATGAATTATATTTTATTGTTTTGTATGTATTCACAATTAGTTTGTTTGTTTATTTTTTTGTATTGTAAGAATACGTACATATAATTATAAACTGCATATAAACTATGTTTATTATTAATAAATTATTTTATTATATTTCAAAGTAAAAGAACATAATTTTAATGTATTCTGGGGGAATGAATTATAAAACAAATGATAAAGTATTAATTATTTAATGCATTGAGATACATCAATTATATAATGCATACTTAAAAGATTGTCCAAAATGCATTATATAGATTGCATTATATTACGAATCGCTTAGACAAACAAAAGGAATGCATTATTTTCCTAGGACATGGACCGTGTTAACAATAATGAATTCTGGAATGTATAAATCATAGTGTTTATGCATTACCTCTTCGTTTACCACACCTTCCATTTTCCCACTGGGTACTTTTGATGAGCTAAAAGAGAACACTCTTTTGTTTGAAGTTTCGATGAAGCTAATGGTAAGCATTGCCTGCCTAGACAATTCATGAGAAAACTTACTTTGTTGTTGTTGTTGAATAAAGTGGTGTTTTCTTGAAATTAGTTTCAATTGTTGTGTTTAATATAATTAAACCACTTAATAAATGTATTATAAACTTTAAAAGATTCCTCATTGATTTTGGCTGGCTATTACACGTACGTAAGTAAAATAAAATTGCTGCTTTGTTGTGCACGAATAGAAAATTAAAGATACCTGTACTTTTTGTGCACGTAAGTAAAATTAAAGATACCTGCTTCATTGTGCAGATAAATGCAATGAAGCTACCTGCATTTTGGGCATTGCTGCACAAGATGTCGTGCAATTTTTGATTGTGCAGGTAAGCAGAAAATACTGTACAAGCCAAACAGGCAGACCTCTATACTTGCAATTTTTTCAAAGTTGGCCTACCTTCTCTTCATTGTACCATGGTTCTACCGTGGTATAGCCCCCATATAACGCATTTCCTTTGAGCGGCATTTTTCGACGGAAGATTTTGAATTCTTTTCAAGTCCTTTAAAATGTTGGGGAGTTTTAATAGTTTGGCCAGGCCAAACTTAGCTGATTTTTTATTTGTTTGTTTTTGCGTGTTTCATTTTTTTATTGTAGACAATTTTTTTTTTTTGACAAGTCAGGTTATTGCTTGCAAATAGACAGAAATAAGGTGTCCAGCAACTTCTTTCTGAGAGAATAATGCAGTTTAATTCTCTTTTGCAAGGAAAATGCGAAAAGTAAACAGACGGTACATGGTAGAAAAATACAGGAAGATGCATCAACGCTTAGGAGCATTGATATGTCAAAATTTTTTAAATTTATTTTCAAATATAAGTAGCTTTTTATATATTTTCTTATACGACGTCATTCGGTGGTTATTATGAAATGCATTTTTTAACAATTTTTACAAATTTAAAATTTTTTTCATTCAACATTTTCAATTCCAAAATTGGTTTGACATTTCATTGTCGCAGCAGCTGCGTCGATGCGTCTACCTATATTCTTCTACCATGAGACGGTATTTCTGCAGAAACTTGCAACTAATCAGCTGATATGTCAAAACAAACCAATTTGTCCCCCATTAAAAGAAAGAAAGCACCGCCAATTTTACAAGTTTTATAAATAAAAAGGAAATAAGCAATAAAATAAAGATTAAACGTGTTGCTAATGGCGTTTGTCTAAAAATGTTGAAAATAGTATTTTATTTCCCAATTGCATATTAATATTTACGTTTTTCACATTTTGTAAAGTTGTTCTCCAAAAACAATTAATCTTGCTAATTCCAAAAAATTATTTTCAAATTAAAAGCATGGCAGAAGAATACAGGTAGATGCATCGACGCTTGGGAGCATTGATATGTCAAAAAAATTAAATGTTTTTTCAAATATAAGAAGATTTTTATATACTTTTTTATACTACGTCATTAGGAGGCTATTAAAATTCGCGTTTTTCAACAATTTTTACAGATTTAAATAATTTTTCATTCAACATTTTCAATTCCAAAATTGGTTTGACAGTTCATTGTCCAAGTGTCGACGCGTCTACCTATATTCTGCTGCCATGAATTGAAAGCATAAAAAGAAAAAAACAAACAGAAAACATCTGATTGAATGTCGATAAATGAGAAGAAGAAGAGTTGCAAGTGTTTGCAAGAAAAAATTTGTCCAGCAAGAGTTTGCAAACTCTCACTGAAAGAGCTGTCAAAATGTCTCTCTCCAACTGCTCTCTTTTCCAGAACTATCGGGTTAACTATAATAATTTCTAACAATTGTTACAAATTCTAGGGTAACCAGACAAACCTTATAGCAGAAAACGCCATTGAAAAGGAAATTTATTGGGCAAAATTAATAATTTTTTAACCGTGCTCAGAAATCCCAATGTCACGACAAATATCCACGCTTAGAATACAATCAAAATTCTCACATTACCAGAATTGTCAGCTATGCTAAACCCAGATGTGGCTTACTTCATTTGAATTTCAATGACCAATTTATGCAAAATTTAGGAGTGTAACTTAAAGGAAATACCCTCTCAGACAGTGAAGCAATCATGGTAGAAGAATATAGGTAGACGCTTCGACACAGCTGCTGGGACAATGAACTGTCAACCAATTTTGGAATCGAAATTTTTGAATGAAAAATCACTCAAATTTGTAAAAATTATTAAAAAATGCATATTATAACAACCTCCGATTGGCGTTGTGTGGTAAAACATAGACAAATGTACTTATTTTGGCAGAAATATTTAAACAATTTTGACATATCATTGTTCCCAAGCGTTGATGCATCTACCTGTATTTTTCTACCATGGAAGCAATTGATGCTTTAAATGGTACGAATTATCTTTCATCGTTTAAATATATTGCATCTTATTTTAAAGACAGAAATCTCATCAACAAAATGTACATAAATTATATAATATTATTTTCAAAACGTCTACGTATTAAATGACTAACTGCATATAAGGTATGCACTTTACTATAAATATATTTTATTATTAAAATTTTAATCATAGTATAATGTAATACCATCTATTAATTAAATCTATGGCTGTTCTGGAATGCAGAAATGATCTGGAAAAGTAAAAATCGTTGGTAAAACTTTGTTGGGTTCCTGGCCATTGTAACATATATGGCAATGAATCAGCAGATGAAATGGTCAGACGCGGATCTGAGTCAGTAGGTATATAGATCGACAGCGCGGTGAAGCCTCCATTATGCCACTTCTTCCTAGTATTGAACATGCACTACCTTGGGAGATTCAATCAAAACTGGCAGACTGGAAGGGGTTGTAATGTCTCCAAAAAAATATGGCCAGTGACTTCTGAGCGGAGATCAATGTCGCTCATTTCATTGGCGAAATCTGACCTAAGGCTTATGGTTGGTGTAATTACGGGACACTGACTTGAAAGAGGGGGGGGGGGGGTTGTAGGCTCTCTCTGGACGTGGAGGAAACCGAGACGGTAGAGCACTTACTCTGCCACTGTCCAACTCCCTTTGGACTCAGACAGAAGCTACTGAGTAAGCCAATTCTTCCCGACTTGTCCTCGTTCTCTTAATGTGAACCAGCAGCTACGCTTCAGTTAGCCAGACTGAAATGGCTGAAGACAACACGCTAATTACGTCTATATTTCTTTTCTATTTTCTTACCTCCTCTTCTTACCTTTTTCTCAATCAATTCTCCGTCAGATAGGATGAACACAATGGACCACCAGGTCACCTTTATCCTAACCTAATTTGGTGATAGGTACAAACACTACAGGGTTGCCCATATTCGACGGACCTTTGGGACCATTCCAATCGACGAGGCAACATTCTTTGCGTCAATTGAATTTTGTACGGGAACAAATGAAATCAATGCAAATAATCCGTTGTAAAGTGGACAGAGCCATACCCAACTGCTGAGAACGGCGTTTTTGGGATGTTTTTGGGGACCTCTCAACACTGGCTCGTACGGCAGCGATATTCTCGGCCGATCGCCTTGGTCGACTTTTATATGGCCTCTTCGGATTAGAAAGAGCCTTACCAGTCGAAAAAATTTCGTATAAACGCTTCCGTCGAATATGGGCAACCCTGTATACAAAAGCTAACAATACCGAAAGTTTGATTTATAGTTTACTATATATCTGATGATGCTACAAATAACGAGTAGTTTAGTGACAATCTTTCCCTTGTTCTCTTCTTAATATTGGACTATATCCATGTGTTATTGATTAATGGTAATTCAAAACAAGTTTTATTTAAAATCAAAAATAAAATATTCAGTTTGAGTGCTGTAATGATAGCAACTTGTGGTTTTCCAGCCAAATATATAGAAAATCACACTATCATGCTCGCATTACATTACCAATAACTTTTTTTCAGGAAAATTCTCACCAAAATGCTTTTGTACGCTTGTTGAGAATTATTATTTTAATTGTTTTAACAGCTATCGGACGAGTGGCCTAAAATGAAAATGAAATGACAGCAGTCTGAAATTGGTTGCAGTTTTTTCATCTCACCCTGCACTTTAGGCTCCTTTAATTTTTGGCATTGAACATAATACTTTAGGTCCACGATTTGCTATGCTAATAAAATCGCCCGTTTTTTTTTTTTAGTTTTCCAACCGAAGTTGTTGTAAATCTGTAGTTTGTCTTTTCGATGGGTAGAAAATTACCTTGTAAATAAATTGTCCAAATTTGTCAAAATAAGTTGGTATGTGAAGTTCGCTATAGGTAACCACTAGTCTGGCAGAAAAATTTACAGTATTTCCCGATACTCAGTATTATAATGATTTCGGCCCACATCTTTTTAACGTTTTTTTTTATTTTGTTACTTCTTACTGGAGTAGGGTATTTAAAGATCGGCCTGGCCGAACATAGCTGTTTTTCTTGTTATTTTGTTTTCAATACGCGCCAAAACAAAATCAAAAACCGGATTGAGAAAATTTTATAAAAAAGATTCTGTTGTTTTTCAAACATAGGAAAACAACAACAAATACTGAGAGATTTATTTTTGTCTCTTCTTCACCAAGCGGTACCTCCCCGTTGACTGGCTGATAAACAGTTCAATTTAGTTATCAACGATTGCTTTAATACATCAATACATCGGTTGTAAAAGAGTCTCGGCTAGAGTGTCTTGGAAACTTTTGCATTCAGTTTTTTAATATTTTCTCTAAATACATTAACAAATATGTCCGGCTTTAAATACTTATTTTGTGGAGGTTTGTGTCTTATTATTATTGGCCTGCAGCTGGTACTGGGCCAAATAGTTGGTTTTCCCGAAAATGGGGATGGAGATAAACTAAAAGCCAATTTAAACGTGAGTTTTTAAAATATGTAAATAAATCGAACGTTTACATCGAAGTGTATATATGTTTGTGGGTGTCAATATATAAATACAGTCTCTTAAAATATACGCAAGAAACATTCTACAGATTCAGACTATTGGAATAAAGACATCACACAATGGAGCGTCAGTATTTTAATATATTATCGTATTCTAAATAGAAAGATTAACATAAATAGTCTGAATTTAAATTGTCTTGATTTTAAATTCTTGGTCAATCATTATGAACATTTGTAAAATGTAGATTAACATGTAAAAAATGGTGAGGAAATTTTCAAAATGTTTTAATAATTTATTGTGAACTCTAAAATATTCCTTGGCCAACAAAAAAGTCCATCTCAATATTAAAGATAAAGCAATGAAATTAACAGGCGTCGATATTACGCAAGTGTTTGGTATTGAATATGTGATTCGAATTTAATCTCTGAATTTAGATATTTGGAATAGAGATAATTTGCCATTTGCGGGTCTTTTCGATTCGCATAGCTATCTAAAATTTGCCTCAAAAACGAAAAGTCGGACCGATACCGAACACTCACCATTATGTGACGCGGTTGCCTTGGATTAGGCAATTCTTTGCCACATAGAATATGGACAGGCTACATTTTTAGCTTCAATTTTTTTGTGATAATGTGTTTGTGATATGAATATCAAGAGAAACATAATTTATGGTTTTTCTTATTCTGATATTTCTTAATTTTTTCTAATGCTGATTAGGTATCTCAGAGACTCAGAATCCAATTTTCTCTCCTAGTTCAGCTCAGATGATTATTTTAATTATTCTTTTTTTATATTTCAGGGTCGTACACCTCTTTATATTCCCTCGAGATGTAAATCGCACGAATTGCTTTACCCTGGAGATCAAAAAGATGATTGGGTCTGTGATTGTGCTCCAGGTAAATTAAAAGCCAATCCCAATACTTATTAATCCTAAAATTAATTATACATTTTCCTACCAGCTGCTCTCTATTATCCCGAAAGTGATGCCTGTTTCCCAGCCTTTCGGCAAGGTCCATGTCAACCTAATGAGATATTAGTGCTTGGTAATAATGCCATTATTCCTGAATGCATACCAAATGCATGCAAAGTTGACGGACAAATCCAAATACAAAAGGTATGCTACGAATTGGGAAAAGCGGGGCCATGTCCAGATGCCCATCTTAATTATGTACTTGGCGTAGATCCAAAAACGATGCACATTGACTGTGTCATACCATTCATGTCGTTGGCAAGCAGATTCGGTATGGAAACCCCTTCTCCATATGATTTATCTAAAGCAGAAATATGTGCACGTGGTTCCAAGAGATCAGTACAAGGCTCATGTCCAAATTGAAAACAAAATAAACGAAATTTATTTCACCTATATTGACAGTAAAAATTAACAAATACAATTTTATAAACAAAATGATAAGAAAACAACGTTTAATAAATATTCAATAAAATTTTATGACTCTTTATCTTTAATGCGACTTCTTTTCGATTTTTGAATTGTTTCTGGTTCCAGTGGAGCGTCTTTTAGTGATCTTTCTTCTGTTGACACATCATCATCGTCCTCTTCAACCATACCATCTACAGAATCTTCCGCCGATGCTTCCATTTTCAACATATTATTCTCGTATGAAGCCAAGAAAGAGCTTTCCCCATATTCTGGCCATTTGCGAAACATCGAAAACAATGTTAGAAATTGACTCGGCGCTAAATCTCCAAATTGTGTATATATATTGATATTTGGATAATAATCCTGATTGCTAATTGTCTTGCATGGTATTGAATATTTGGGCAATTTACTTATATCTTCATCGGGATATAGCATTGTTGAGACTTCAGATTGGCGTTTATTTACAATAAGTCTTGGGCCACAGCCGGGTATCCATTTTCTGAAAACATAAAAACACAATACAAGTACATATGTTAGTAGATATATGCATTGGTACACTCCATAGCCACTTACTCGAGATTTGGTATGATGCGATTTCGACGACTAACGCAATTTTGTTTTATAAAGTACCAAAGAGCTGGCAAATCTTCAGTTGACACATAATCAAATATATTTTTTCTCGGCACGATTCTCACAAGGTATAGGTTTTCCGGGTTTATAGAACGGACCTATAATAGACAGTAACATGTATATTTTGTTATACCAATACATTATTGTTATTGTGCTTCCATAGGTAGTTTACTCTATATTTTTTATAAGCAGTGTTATGGATAGATCTCATACCATTCGATCGATACTATTCCTCATATTACGAAAATCACATTTTCGACTTACAGCAGTAAGATTGCGCTTTACTATGGTGACCACAGTAAAAATCGAGTCTGAATTATAAAAATACAGATGACTATTTTTTGTTCATAGACTATTTAGATTAAAAATGCGGTTTCTTTCTTACTGTATTCGAAAAAATCACACATACCCTTCGCAGTTTGCTGCCCTTCGATGTATTATATTCGGTTTGTTGTGGCAAAAAGTCTTCCCGTGGCAAACACCCTATGAATTTGTATTCGAAAAGTATTTGAAATAATATCGTTGTCGATCTGTATATCATGTAACCAATGTCGTTTGAGCAGGTTAAATGCTAATAATGAAATAAAAAGTCAATATGAATTAGTATTAGGAATAAATAAAATAAGGATATGCTAACCAAATAAAGGGGTGGTGGTAGTGCAAAATACATTTCCGCCCTACCAATGTTAAGAAAACTATTCTGGAAGACAATGGAATTGATAAGATGCTTGAAAAATGGATAGGAACCAATAGCGCCGAACATCATCATATTGCAGTCTGAAATACAATAAAACTTAAATGTTATTATGAATTATATTAACCAATGACATGTTTTGCAACTACCTTCATTATAAGGCCTTCTCGGAATATCCCGAAAAAGCTCTTCCACTCTTGTGCCATTATCTATTTTGTCTTGATAGACGACTTTCCAAATATTGGCAAAATCACAATTTTTCACTTTAACCTTATGCGGATATAAAGAATGCATTTCTTGCAAATTATCCATGAAGAAATCCATTGATTCCATAAGTAAAATTTTCCTAAACTTATCCTCCCTATCAAGCAATTTCCGTGTAAATAAACCAATTCCTGGATTCATTTCCAATATGGTGTCGCAAGAACTATGTTTAATGTATGGATCGAGCAATTCATCCACAGCTGTAGCAGCCTTGTAATTAGCCAAATACATAGTAGCAGGTGTCTTCTGTTTTTTACTAAGTAACTTGTCTGGGAATAAGTTCCCATAATGTTGCTTCTTCTGGCCAAAAGTCTTCAAATCGGTCTTGGCTGCGTAGAATCGTTGACATCGCCATCGTATATCAACTGATTTTAGAATTCGCTTTGAGAAAGACATCTTCGCTTTATTAGTTTTTTACTACTATCAATTAGTATTATCATTAATTTAAAAATTAAAATCCCTTTTCACACACAAAGAGTTGCGAAAGAAGGATGAAGCAACACGACACATTTGTATAGAAAGTGGAAGAGACAATACGGCGTAACAGCTGTTTGAAACAACCGGCGTGAATAGTAGAGCTGGCATACAATCGATGACAATATCGATATTATCAATACTTTACTTTAAAAGAGCATGTAGATTTGAAATGTTTTGTATCGATATGAACTCTGTTCGTTAACTTTTCGAGTAAAACTTACTAAATTACAAGTTACTTGCACCATTCCAGAACCGGCAAGAATGTGACAATGGCTCTGATTCAGACGCTGCAAGAATCTATTAGTTTCTGGCCTGATCCAGAACCTGCAAGAGTCTACTAACCTCTAGTTTATTCCAGAAAAGTTTTTGCTAAACTAGTAAATTTTTGCAGGTTCTGAAACAGATCAATTGTTTTGTCACAACATATTTTCATTCAGCTGAATTTTAAATAATTTCAAATCGTTCTTGTTTGCTTTGTTCCAGTATATACAATTATCGACTAGTTTTGTAATTTTGAAAATCGGTTATCCTGTACAAAATTGTGAGTTGTAATTAAAAGAAAACTAATTGTTGTTGATTTTAAAAGTTTTTTTAGTTTAATTGAATCAAAATTGTGTTATTTTATAGACATTCAAACGAAACCAATTTAATTTTTTCTATTCCAAGGCACACATCCGTATAAAAAATAGACATATTTCTCTTCAGTAGATTTTTTATAATAGTTATTAAATATTGGAAATAGTTGTCTTGGAAAAAGGACAATTATTTTCCTTATTTATTTTAATCCATATAAAAGGCTCTTTGCTCAATATTTCCACAGAATGGGAGAAATTTAGTATGAAACATAGTCTGTTCCAGAACCTGAAGAATTGCAGGTACTGGAACAGAGCAATAATTGGTCTGCTCCAGAACTGCAAGAATGTAAAAATGTTTACTACAATAACCGATTTCCCTTTTAAGAAGATAATATCAAAACTAGTAGATTCTAGCAGGTACTGGAACAAAGCAAATGAATGAATGTAAATATAAACGTCGTACACGCATAACAATCCAGTATTCTTCTACCATGGTATACGCAATTGAATTAACAGTTGAAATCCACTCGATTTATGCTATGTTCTCATTGCACTTACAATCACGTTGTTCGCTCTTAGAATTAGGTACACGAATTAACCCGTTCATATGGCACGATTCGTAATTCATTGTAACCATGACATATTTACAGAAGGTAGAACAAAGCTACTCCCTAAATACCATGGTAGAAGAATATAGGTACCCGCTTCGACACAGCTGCTGGGACAATGAACTGTCAACCAATTTTGGAATCGAAATTTTTGAATGAAAAATCACTCAAATTTGTAAAAATTATTAAAAAATGCATATTATAACAACCTCCGATTGGCGTTGTGTGGTAAAACATTGACAAATGTACTTATTTTTGCAGAAATATTTAAACAATTTTGACATATCAATGTTCCCAAGCGTTGATGCATCTACCTGTATTTTTCTACCATGCTAAATACATTTTTTTTCTTTTGGTGCTCTTATTCTGTCAAAACATATACACATTTTGTGTATGAAAAATTCAACACTTTGAAATTGTTTCAAATTTGGTTGCAAAATAAATGCAAATTTTCGACGAAATGGGTAACAAATTGTACAATTGATAAAATTATGTTGTTCTACTATTTTAGATTAAATGTGGAATAACCCCGAAATTCCATCTTTGTTTCGCGGGTTTTTCCAATATAAGAATTTTGTTAAAAAAAATAAATTAAACAAAGTCTACTGTCGAATTTTTTAAATTCTATTTGACACTATAAGACTCCAGCACAGGTTTCCATTTTTCTAGTTTCTTTGAAGTTGAGCAACCTTTTTTATTGCGCCATTATTATAACCAAGGTTTATTTATAAGGTGTATGCATCAGCTACAACAACTAACATTTTACAATAACAAGATTGTTGTTTTAGAAACGATAAAATCATTCTGAAAATTCAATTTGAAAGAAAAAACAAATAATTGTAGCAAAAACAAATTGTCTTGCTTAAAAATATTATTTAAAAAGAAACGCTGCAACTATATTTTTGACGATTTTGATATGTCCGTGTTTCTGTGCGTTTATCCTTTTGTCTTTGTGTCAATCTGTTCAGTAGGCTATTTTTCGAAGGAATTAAGATAGGTGGTTTGAGTTTTGCATGAAAAACTATTAAAGATTATGCTTTTGGGAACTATTCTGGTAGTTTCAGGTGCCTTCTCCAACCAAACTCTCTCTGCGAAGCATTTTTAATATAGCAAAACTATTAAGAATACTGTCGTATATAATTATACCTGAAAACAATTATGCCAAATTTGATCGAAATCGGTTCAGATGTAGCTATAGCTCCCTTATATATTGTTCATCCGATTTGTTATTTTTGTCCTCCGCAGCCGTAATATGCACTCCGTAACAACAATATTTGAGGAAATATATCAAATGCAGCTCAGAAATACAGTAAATTTTATCGAGATCGGTTCAGATTTGGATATAGCTCCCATATATAACTTCGTCCGATTTACGTTTTATTGTGCACCAAATGTCTTATATTTGCCCAAATAGAATGGAATTTGGCACATACGACCGAATTGAGTCTAGAAGCCAGTATGCCAAATTTGGTGAAGATCGGTTCAGCCGTAATATGCACTCCGTAACCACGACATTCAGGGAAATATATCAAATACAGCTCAGAAATATCTTTGCCAAATTTTATTGAGATCGGTTCAGATTTGGATATAGCTTCCATACATATTTTTGTATGATTTCAATTTAATTTTGCACCAAATGAGCAATACAAATCCGAATTTAAAAGATACAAATGCTTCGGCGCATTTAGTCCTTTGAACTTTAAATTATAATTATAATAATGGCGTGCATGATTGAATTCTCCCATAAAAACTATTAATTGTTATGTGGAGCTCTATTAAATTAGCAAAGTGGTGTAGGGTATAATAAAGTCGGCCCCGCCCGACTTTAGGACTTTCTTTACTGGTTTTTCATTAAATATGTTTTCATTTCTTTTGGAACGAAACATTTATCTGTTCCCAAAGCTTCTATTTATAGGCAATGCACGTTCTCTGTTTTATTTTTGAAATTCATTGAAATAAATATTTATTTACTTTCAAGGAAGGTTATGTTGATATTAAAATTGACAACTTAGTTTACAAACTAAAATGAATTAATGTCAATTACAACTTATTAAATACACCTTGACTGTAACATAATTCCTCTTTTCAAATATTTGTTTGTTGATTTTTATAGGATTTTTTTTTCTGAAAGTACCATGGTAGAATTAAGAAGGTAAAGTCATTCAATCATATGTTTACATTTTTTTTCAAAATATTAATTTGTCAACATCTCATTGTTATACTATATTTATAAATCTATTGTGTGCACAGAAATTAGATATGGGAAATTTTTTTATTCAGTGAAGGAGATGGATAATCTTATTAGAAATGACTTTACCTTCTCGATTTTACCACGGAAAGTACATGAACTTAGCAATAATAATAACAGAAGAAATTATTTTTTTTTCTCCAAAGATTTATTTTATCTTTTTTTTGAAAATTTTTCCTCTTTTTTTTCTAGTTTTCTATTGAAATTCCAACTCGGATGACAGAGAAAAAAATATTTGCTTTCGTTTGAACGCACATACGCCATTCAACATTATATCTTTCATTCATAATTTTCAGTCTTCCTAAAAATTTTAAAATGTCATTAATTCTTTCCATTTTGAAATGTCATTATAAATTTTTTCGATAAATGCTCTCTGTGATTTGGATGGGACAAAATGTTGTGTGGGAATCATGTAGATATTTCATGATTAAAAACGAATAGGGAGCGAATCACGCGTCATGTGAACTTAGCATAATTTCACCAGTTACCCCCTGTTCATACCTATAATTTTGTTGGATGATAAATTTCAGTAGTGAACATATTAGACAATTTATTTAACGGCGTTAATGTGGCCAAGTCCGGAATAGCCGCAATTGTTTACGCCTTTTCGACGGCGTCAATATTTAAAAATAACCATCTCCATTCTCTATCCACAACAAAAATTCACTCGCAAATGTTTTTTACTGAGAGAAAGACGCGGCGACTTGAGAAGGAAGATTATAAGCTTTGTTTGGCTTTGCAAATTTATATCCATTTAATTCGGCAAAAATAGTGCGTTATTAATTGGTAAAAAAAGATATAAAACAAAAATATAAACAAATGACAAAGTGAAAAGGTCAGTCCGCGTAGATTTTCGAAAAAACTAAGCTGAGAAGGCGTGTTCTCTTCTTCGGTTGTCGTTGTCGTAAGACATCGGTGGTTTTTCCTACTTCATTTGAATGCAAGGAAAAAAGGTGTGAAATGTGGAAATCAATAACAAAACGAAACGAACGTTAAGTGGTGAAAATTACAATAAGAAAATATGTAAAGCTAAAATGTTAGAATGAATAAAAATCCAAGAGCTATTTTTGTACAGAGCGTATAAATGGCAGTGCATTGAAATTAATAGTTGTGTACTAAGGAAAAGTGTCGAGAAGAGCCGAAAATACAAAAAGGAAGTTCAATTGTTGAATTACGGTATAGTTCTTAACGTTTGTCCGGGAGGAAGTGGAAATGTTGCATTTGTTTTTTTTTGCTCTGAAGTCGTCGTTAGCTAGCAAGAGAAAATAAAGATAAAGAAGAAAAGAGAAAGAAGAAATAAAAAGTTGTTACTTTTTTTGATAAAACGTTCTTTTACGCGTGATCATTTGTTGTCGTTTGCTTTTCCGTGTTTGCGTCTGTTTCTTTATTTCTTATTTTCATTTATTCGTGACATGAATTAATTATTTACGTTCGTGGTTGTTGTTATTGTTTCATCCAAGCAAGCATTTTTAATACGGGTTCAAGCAAATGCATTCGGCCCTAAAGAGAAACACAACAACAACGAATGTTTCGAATATTCTTCTTTTCGGGGGAGAGAGAAAAGTCTACAATTTTATATTCCTTTCTGCAGCAACAACGACAATTCGTTACGAGATTTTGGTGTTAAACAATGAATGAGTGGCTACAACAACAGCAACTAACAATTTCTCAAGAAATTAAAACCAAAAGCGCTTAGACGGCAACGAATAAGGTTACAATACAAAGGGGAAAGCAATTAACATCAAACTACAACAACTCGAACAAAGTGGTGACCATCAACTCGCTCACAGTAGTCATCCCAGAAAGTACTACCAACAATCAACCACTCCATCAAAATTCCCCATCGAAGACAAGTACAAGAACGACGAGGAGTTATTGCCATCATCCCATCATTTCATTTCTCTCTTGGCTTTTGTTTTTCTTTTCGATCAAAAAGTAAACAAATCAAAATAGAATAGTGTTGAGTAAAGTAGAAATTTAAATGAAGAAAGGAGAAGAAGAAAATTAAATAGATAACAACAACAGTAACGGAATTCAAAAGCCAATGAAGATAAGCCATAAAAAAGTGTGTGAATCATAGGTTTTACAAAAAACAACAACAAAACTCAAATAAATCTTAAAGCAACAAAAACGAGAAACAAAAAACGCGTTTAAACCACAACAGTTTCGTTGAAACGAAATACAAAAGCCAACAATTTTCAATCATTTTTCGTTGTTATTTTTGTTTTAAGAATTGCATGTTTGTGACTTTTTGTGAGTTACATTTTCCATCTTAACTGGTCGTTCATCGTTTTTTTCACTTGTTTCACGATCGAGTTGTGCTATTTAATTGTGGTCTTTCGGTCTCCATTACAAGCTAACAATCATCGTCCAAAGCATTGCATTTAATATTGCAACATTTCTGGTTCTTGGCTAAAAATCTACCAAAACAACGTTAACAACAACAGCCAGCAACAAAGCTGCACTGGCTGCAGCTGCACAACAACGAGTGGAGAGAGAAGCAGAATCGGGAATACTAGTGTCGTAAACTATTTGAAAACTGTTGAGGCCAACGTTGAAGTTTGAGTTTTCTTGTTGCCATTTTGCCACATCAATTTTCAATATGGTCGATGCCACAAAATGTAGCGGTAGTAAGTATTCTTTAAGCTATATTTTTTATTTTCTATTTATAAGTTTTTTTGTTTTGTTTAGTAACTACCAGGGTACAATTATAACAACAATCTGTGAAATAATTTGTGGAAATTTATAATGCAAATAAACGTATACGTCAATTATTTAATGTACGAGTGGAATATATTTGAAGAAAAAATATGAAAAACTAAGAGCATTTTCATCAATCTGCATCATCAGCTTTTAAAAGAGGCATCGAAATCGTAACATGTAGAACAATTTTATGATAAAGATTGTATTTGTAACATGTATATAACGCCTTCAGGCTGATTAGATATGATTAACAAAATTAGTTAATCACTCAAACAAAAGGACAAAAAAAAAAAAACATGTTAATTGATGTAAAACATTGTTTTATTATAATTTGCTGAGTTACACATGTGATCTAAATATCCATATACAGGGTGAGATAAAAAAAACTCCAACGAAGTCAAACGCCATAATTAGAGAGATTTTGTTGGCCAGGGATTTTGGTGGCCAGAGATTTTGGTGGCCATTGTTCGCTGAAAATGAAGCGAGGAACTCATTTTGGAACCATTATTGGGTGGCGTGGTGCTGATACCTGTTGGAATGTTCAAAGTCTGCGGCCAAAATGTTTGCAAGCCCAAGGCTTCATTCAATACACCCTCCAGAATATTTTCGCGATAATATTCGGCAATTATTTTGATGCCACGGTCGATTAATACGAGCGGCATTAATCACCATGGCATGCGCTTGAGTTCTGGTGGCCAACCGAAGGTGCACATATTCAGCTGACCTCTTTGGCAAGTAAACACGATCATTTTGTTTGTTTACAAACTGCTGGACAACGAATGTTTTCTCATCGGAGAAAACCAAATTCGGCATTTCAACACTTTCGGCCATGCGAGGTAACTCTTTAGCTCTTTTGAGTCTATTTTCTTTCTGTTGCGGTGTAAGTTCTTGCACTTCTTATTTGACGAATGGAATATTGCGATATGTTCACCTAATGAGCCATTTTTCGGACACTGAGACGCGGGGTTCCATCAAGTCGCTTCTTTACTTTTCGAACCATTTCTGCTTATGTTGCTGTTTTCTTCCATTCACTTCCTTCACGTCGGGCTACGCTACCAGTATCGCGGTAACGAGCGATGGTACAGCCACAAAAGTTTTATTCACATTTAGATGCTGGAGTGCTCTAACGATAGCTACTAGTGGTTTTTCAGCCGAATATAAAGAAATCGCACTATCACGCTTGAATTCCATCACGAATAACTTTTTTTCTGATAAATTCTCACCAAAATGCTTTTGTTCGCTTGTAAGCAATATAATGAGCTGTCACTGGAATAATTTTAACAGCTGTCGAACGAATGGCTTAGAAATGACAGAAGTTGCAGTTTTTTATCTCACCCTGTATGTATAAGATTATTTAAAAAATCAGACATAAATCAACGTTCTTCTACAAATGGCTGAACTGTGAGCATACCATGGATTGATTCAGGTTTGGCTTAAGTACTTTTAACTGCTGGGATTTTGTTAGTATGTCATATCTAGACATTCTTGTCCGTTTTGATCGAGCCATTGTAATAGTAAGAGTCTACTAAAATAATCATTGAGAGTTTGAAGTGTTTATCTTATCTCATATTCGTAATCTTCTACTCGCAAGAAAAAGACAGCCACAGAACTATGCCATTTGGTTATCAAAGTTCAAGCGATAACTTGCACTACGGCCGTACCATACTTTTTTGTCAACCCCACCGAAAAACGAGTCCATGGCTCCAGCGAATACTGTGAGGCATTTTTTGTCAGTTCGCCATTTATGAAAAACCACAGAAATGAGTCAAACTTTACCCTTTTGGAGGATATAAAAGCCTTGTTATTCCGTTTGTAGCTCCCTGAAATAATCACGATAGACCCCACAAGATTATATATTTTTATCAGCGTAACATTTGTAGTCGATTATGCCTTGTCCGTCTTTCAAATTAATTTAAAATTAAGGCTAAAATTTAACTCATATTTGTAGTTTTTCAGTAGACAGGTCAGGTTTGTATATGGATCTCATCCGTAAATATTTTCGTATATAACGGTACCTTTAATACATATGTACATATACATTTGTTATTTGATGTTCACAGCTGTTGTTGTTGCTGGATCTATGCTGGATCTGCTTCTAACTCCGAATTCAAAAAGGATGTAATCTGTCCGTGACATATTCAGTCCATTGCGTAACATGAGTTAGGTGAGTTAGATTTGGCTAGCGTGTCATGTGGAATTGTGCTACGTGCTGAGCAGTGTTCTGTGGTAAATTCGATCCCAATACGAATTGAGGCTGCTGTGCATCATCCAGATCTCAGTTGTGCCAAAACTTCTGTGGTTAGTTGAAGCTAGTTGCTGTGACCGCATTCGAGTGAAAACTACTTAGTCCTGCTTTATAGTTATGTTGGCCCAGAGGTTCTTTCTTATACCTCCTTACCCCTCTCTCTCTAGATCGTAAAAGTCTTTTCTTACATGTGCCGAGGTTGCCTATCCTCCAGATGGTCCAGATGGATGTCATGATGGAGCATCATATTGCGGTTCTAAGGCCGGCATTCTGGCACCGGAGCGGTATAGTTTGCCACAGACTGACCTATTGCGTTGTAAAAGGTCAGCAAAGTTTCCTTATCAGCCACCTAATTGCTGCTGGCAAGAGACTTGAGAACCTTGTTCCAACTTCTAATCTTATCGCAGATGGATGTGGTATGCGCGGACGACTTGGAGAGACTATCCCCTAAAACGTTGGATTAATTGGTGGTCGGAATTAAAACATCGTCCACCTGCACATTCAGCGATATCATATTCATAAAATAAATAAAATAAAATTTCGTGGCGAATGAAACCGCAATGAAAAAAAGTGTTGAAATCAATAAAGTTTTTTAACCGTTTATACCCTCAGCCAAATGGCTAGAGAGGGTATATATCATTTGATAACGATTTTAAACCCTAGGTATATTTGGACCAAATCCGTTTCAGGACATATGGAGTCGATCTAGCGATTATTAACCTGAGGTCTGGTGTGAAGATATATCGGTCCACTCCTTCTGGTACCTCTCCCACAAAGGGTCAAAATTTTGAAAATTAATGAAGCTCAGAAAACACGAAATTATTACCCGATTCCACTCAGATTTGACACATTTCAACATTTTTATCAACACAAGATCAGTTGGAAAGATGGTAGAGCTCGGCCCATTTCTTCTGGTACCTTTCCCACAAGTGGTCAATATTTTGAATAACCAAGACGATCAAAAAATCCGAAATAACCATTACGTTCTCCTACTAACCCAAGGTATGGTGTGAAGATGGGATATATTGGTCAACTCCTTTTGGTACCTCCCCCACAAGAGTATCCATTTTGAGTATCCATGAAGCTCATAAAAGTCGAAATTAACATCCTTAGTATATCTCAATATTTCCATCAACACAAGATCTGTTATAAAGATGGGAGAGTTCGGACCATTTTGAAAAACCAAACGCTGGAAGAATTAAATTTATTTGATCTATTATGAATGCCAACAAGACATCAAATTGCAATGAAAACAAGTGGGAAAGTATCAGAAGGGTTGTCCGGAAACTGCCTTCGTCCAAAAAAGATATGGATGGGGTCTAAAGCCGTTATTTCATATATTCTCTCTGCAGCCAATAAAGCAGAGGGTATAAATATAATAAACAAATTATACAAGAAACGTAGGAGAACGATAAGAAAATGAAAAAAGAGTTGAAAATACGATAGCGAAAGAATTGAAGATAGAGAATCAAAACCAAAGAATAAAACAACAACCGAAGGCAATAAATGAGTAAACCAACAAACAAATACAAATACTCTGCTTATACCAATGACACGCACACTCACTCTTCTGTCTAATGATAAGATAAGAAATTGTATTTTTTGTCTAAAGATAAAACCACGATCAAATTGAAATAATAAATATTTGTGTGTTTTCTAATCAAGAGAATGCCAACATGGCTGGCGTTTAAAGTTAAGCATAGAAAGATTTTAAAAATAAGCATTTTTTATTTTTGAAGGAAATAAGTTGTTGCAGAAATTAATAACTTGACCTACCTATTAATATTCTAGAAATAAATCTTATAAAGACCGCGTGTAATTAAGCAGTGTTAAGAGCAAAAGCATTTCAAGATGTGCGCCAAAAAAAAAAAAAAAATGATAATGATCCCATTGTTCTAGGAGGTCAGAAATACCTTGGCGGGATTTATCTTCCTTACTGGTAAAGTTCGATTAGTAAACTTGAAAATTGGGAAACGTATATTATGAACTACAGAGATTAAGCATTTCAAGAACAACAACATATGTATCGTGTTACTATTTAATTTCAATGTTGTATTTCTGGCGATACAAACAACTGTATCAATAATACATTTAATAAAATAATAAGAACTTAAAATACACACCCATATGCAGTAATTAAGCTCTTTAAATATTCATTTATCAAAAATGGCAAATAATTGTAAAAAGATACCATCGCACAAAGATTATTTTACATTTCGAAAATATTCAGAAATCTATGAGTCATGGTTTGTTGTGGGTTTATTCTTTGGCAGTTTGCCTTTTTGTTTCTTTTTTCGTCTCCATGAAATGTAAATGGTGAATTTGAAGTTGTATGCGTTGTGTGTGTTAGCAGGGCTAAATCTAAAAAAATCCACAATCATAAATAAACTTTAACCACAACTACAACAATATTCATAAGTAAAATGTCCATACCCAGTAAACAATTTTTGCCGAATTCGGTCCGATTTCTGTCAGAATCTCTGAAAAAATGTCCGATTCTGATTCCGAATTCCTTCCGATTTCGGTACGAAAGTTGTATGGACGTGGTCACCGAATTCGGAAAGATTTTCTGAAAAAAATCTGAAAAAATATTAGATTTTCTGGACGAATTCGGTCCGAATTCGGTGAAAATTCTTGAAAAAATAGGAGAAAAAATTAGATTTTCGGAAAAGATTCGGAGGA